CTGTCTTTCAGGTCTGCTTTCCTGCCAGTGTAGAACTTGCATCCCATTTGTATGTATTGTTCCTCTTCCACAGAAGCCAATATGACTTACGAAATCTTGTGTTCTTTTTCAGCAAACTTTTGCTGAATTTCTATGCTCTTTCCCAGAATGGTGCTTTTATTCCTTCAGTGGGAACAATCATGGTTATTGCATATTATGAAAGCTGGTTGCCCTTTCAAGAGCAGCATCCAGACCTCTCTGCTTGCTTCCCATTGCTGCAGCTTTACTCTCCATGCCTCTTAATTGACCCAGTTGATATCTCTGTGCTGGTTATCTCATGCCATCCCCCCTTTCTTCTGGTCTTTCCTCAGAGTCCATGACACCCATGAGGTGCTTACTTTCAACCCTAACCTGTTATGCTTCTGATTTTTAGTATAGATATATTCTCCACTTGAGTCCCATAACATTGCTGTCTATAGCTCCATTCTGATGGCCAGATTGTATCTATGTGTCAATGTCTAATATTTCCCCTCTCTTCATCTGCCAAGTGAGAGTCCATCTTTCCTGGCTTTTTTTTCACTTCCCCACCCCTTCCTAAATTACCTCCTGTCTTCACTTCAACCACGCCCCTAAGAGGAAAATTAGCCCAAGCCTGCAGAAGTAGTGGAGACAAAACTAACTGAACAGTGCAGAGGCCCCAGACTTCCTTTTGAGTGTCTCTACAACACTGAATCAAAACTGCTGTTAGCATTCCACTGCTTCTAGAGGCTCCGCAGGGATCAACTGTCTTCAAGAGGGGTCAGGCCTTCAGGACACAGGCTGTTTTAACTCTCAATCTGACTGTAAGGGCCTTGACACCGTACATTACAGGCCACAATGCATTACACAAGCATATGTACTGCACAAACAAATGTTAAGAGAAAAGCTTAAAAGCTTTTTGAATACCTCGATTAAATCCATTTGGTTTAACTACAACTACTAGCCAAAAACTGAGATGGGGAAAAGAAAACTCAGCACACCAGGGCAGAAGGCAAGCAGAAAGCTAGATTTGGAGTTGAATCCCTGCACATGTGTTGCCAGGCCACAGTCTTACCTCTTAGCCTAAGCATAATCACGGATGTGTCATTCTACACTATGCATTTGAATTCTCTGTTAATTAGCTCAGTCCCTGGTTTTGAACAACTGTTCCCTCAGTCAGGATAGCTGCAGGGTTTGGAGGAAAACCCACCCGCAAATATATCCCAACTGCAGCTGTGGTAATTAAACCCAAATAATTAAGACATTCACATGCTGCATGTGAAATGTCTGGAAACTGGCAAGAAAGTTTTCTGTGCAGGCACATGTCACAGCAGGCTGGAAGCAAGAGCTGCTGCATGCTTGTGTGTGTATGGAGAGCTCACTTCGGCTTTCTCAGGGAGGAACAGATCAGCGTGCAAATGTCATCTTCCTGATTGAGCCCTACTGTCGTGGGTTATTAAACAAACAGAATCCCACAAAACAAACCACAAAAGTATTTTGAAATGGTATTACCAATTTTTTTGAGACCAAAAGACAAACACCATCAATTTCACTTGTATACCAAGCTTTCAGCAGGCATAACTTAAATGCCAAGTTATTAACCACTGTACAACTGTAGTTGTACTGGAAATTGCATCTCACACTTTCAAAGAGCTTCAGGTACGTGTCACATTTGACCCCATGGTGTTATGGATACACTTGAAACTGCAGAAATGTTGTTTAATTCTTCCATTTAGCTTTTGAAACCCTGTGGATTCAGTGGGCTGGACTTTAGCCCAGACTTTCATATTCAGCCTGAAGCCTTACAGGGAGAGTTCTGGAAAATGCTTTTGGCATTGGCAGACTTCTTTCTTACCTGCCCATATTAGACCAAAGAAACGCTGGCAAAAAGTATGACTCAGGCACTCTGAAAACTCCAGAGTGTAAGAATGTTGGATATGTTCAAGCCAGCCATGGTGTATAAAGGAAGGGAAGAAACTCTCTTAATTCCCTAGAGTCCAGGTATAAATCATAAAAGGAAGTTCTTGTCAGCAAACCAAGAGGTTAACTTCATGAATTATGGAGTAGAGTAACAAGACTCCCTTCCTTACTCAAAGCCTCTCTTCTAAGACATAACTTTATCCTCCACACAACTGAAGTCGCTCACTCCTGCAAGTAGAAGTTTACCCGGTACAACTGAGGAGGGTTAATCTCAACAACATAAACAGGCAGAGCCTGACTTTTCCCTCCAAGCATTTCTGACTCCAATAGTAAAATTCTAGTGGACAGAGCCTATCTAGTGTTGTTAATTGAGATCAGGCTCTAGAATAAGATTGACTCATTTCCTAAGACCAGTAGGCGTAACCTCCTGCTGTGATCTTTGTAAAGAATAGTGGGCTAGAGACAAAAGCTTTCCTTTAAAGAGCTCTTAACCTACAACTGTTCAAGCTCCCTTTCCTTAACTGAACTGGTGGGACCCAAGGAAGAGGCAACAAAATTAAAAAAGGAAAAAAAAAGGATAAGAACAGCAAAAACACTCAGCAAGAAACCTCAGCCCTAACCTAAATCTAGAAAGAGGCTGTTTTATAGAGTGCTTTGGTCACATGCAGTACACGTACAAATATTTCCTCAACTGGAGGCAGGAATTAGTTCCCTGATGAAAGCTGTGAAACACTTAAAGCATTTATTTCTTACTTTGCATGGGTTCAGTCTAGAAACAAACTGGACTTGTGAAAGCCTGCGTGGAAGAGCTTCACAGTGCACCACAGAGCCTTGTAGCTTGCAGCTCCTGAGCCCAGGAGTGCTGCTCACATTCTTGAGTGCCATCTGCTGGCACCTTGGCTATGATCTCGGTCTTGCACACAACCGGGGATCCTCCCGGCAGTTCAGCACCTCCCTGAATCCACCCCTATGCTTTGTTCAAACCAAAGCTGACCTGTTTCCCCATGCAAGAGAGGCTCTGAGCAGTGATGCTCAGATGGCGATGGAAAAGTAGTACATGTAGCACAGGACTGTTGTTTGCACGGATCGATGCTGAACACCTTGTGTGATGCTCTCTTTGAGGCTACTAAGAGAGAAAATGGAAGGCTGATAAACCCTTATCCTGTTAGAGGTATTTGCTTGCCTCAGTTGAGAAGTCTGTGAGTGTATTGCTATTTTCACATAATACACTAAAAACTTCTTGTTGACACGCTGTAAGTTACACTCTCTCTCTTCAGTCGGTCAGTTGTGTGTGGGCATGCTTGAGCACAACTTGTTTGTAAAACTGTATGTAGTAATGCAAAAAAAAATCTCTGTGTTTTGGTGTTAAACCTACACTATGTTTGCAGGAGGTTTTGTATTCATAATTCTGCAGATTCCAGAAAGCAATTCTTTTCTATATAGATGCTGGTTTTAGTAATCCTAATATACTACAGGAGAGCTTTACTTTTTGTTAGTCTTGGCATTAGACAAATCCTTACTCAGATTTGCACAGTGACCAGATAAATACCTCATACAGTTTCAAAACTTCTACCAACTGTGAGGAGCCATAACAGTTCTTTCTAAGCTGGCCAAGCAGGTGGTCATCACATTACTCTGATATGAGCACGTGGTTTAAATACAGTGTTTTGAGCTGCCACAGATGATCAAAACTCTCTGAAACTTCAGGACCCTGGAAGTGAGGTTTATTCTACCTCACAGGGAGCAGATACAGTCAGGTAAGGTACTCCAGAGCAGACGAAGGGAAAGGAAGCTAGGCTGATAGCCACAAGTTTATACAGAGCAAATAATGGGATTTCTGTGTCTGGTATTCAGAATCTTATCTCAGCTGTTGCTTTCCTGAGGGTGTTTCAGAGGTGATTCAAGGTGAGCTGCATTCTGAGCTCTGCTTTTTGCAAGACCTGGCATATTTTACCTGACCTGGGGCTTTGACAGGCAAGCACCAGCTCATCTCACTATAGCCACATAAGCCATGATCGTTGATGCTGTCCACTGCCAACATCTGCTCTCATGAACAAGCTGTCAGAAAGGAACAGGCTGTGCCTGAGCACTTCCCTTGCATAGGTTGGTATCTTTGCCCCATCAACTTTCATTTTTGTGATAAAGTAAGCTGGATTCCATGCTGGAGCTGCTGCAGTGTAGGAATAGCTTTCCTCTTCTGCTTTCTGTGCCTGGAGGATGCCAGTCAGGCACGATAGCAGGGCACTTGGGAAGAGCTGATAACATCTCAAATCGCTGTGGCCAAAGTCTCTGGAGCGCAGTCAAAGCCTGTGGGGCCATTTCATAATCTCCCTGTGCCACTGAGCTCTGATCTTTACAACAGCACAATAGCCTGCTTTATCTATACACATTACAAAGATTTTGTGGCTGATACTGTACAATACAACCTGCATGTTGCTGAGCAAAATGGCGCTTTCACTGCCCTCCCTTTGTGGGTTTTGGCACGCAGGTCCTGCTGTGTAAATGTTGCCGCATGCCCCACTATGTGGGCAGGCACACAAATGCCTTGCTGTTTACTGGCAGCCCGAGGTGCGCTCTGTGCCCAGCGCTGCCTGCAGCGGGCTCGGCAGGGCAGTGAGACACGGCTGCCTGCAGCCGTGCAGCACCCGGTCTCCAGGGCTCCCCAGTCACATCCAGCGTGAGGAAGGGGACCTGGCAGCAGTTACCTTCCTCTAGCATCTTTTTGAGCTGCAGTCAAAACAGATCTGACACCACTTCTCCCAGAGTGCGTTCCCCCTTTTGTGAGGTGAAAACCAGTCCTTGCTGGGCCACAATCTCCTCCCACGTTTCGCATCCCTCCCTGACTGGGCTTGGGGCTTTTCCTGCCCTTTCAGGGCTGGGGACAGGACAGAAACCACAGGAGGAAAAGGCGGGAGCTCCGTGAGGGGACCGGGCTGGTTCTCCTTCGTACCACAGCCCTCAGCGCGGCGGGGAGGTGACAGGGAGGTTGAACCCTGCACCTGGGAGGGCATCACGCTTCCCTCACCTCAGTGCTGTGCTATGGCTCAGTGCCGAGGGGCAGGCATGTGCCGATGCTCCAAAGCTGGCTTCTCACTGTCAGACCGGCCTTCCCTGTGCCTTCCAGCGCTCGAGAGATCCCTTCCAGTTGGTAGACTTGTTTTCTTCTCTAACCCCCGGATTTTGGGTGCCTCTCAGAAGAAACAGGAGAAGGTCCTTTCAGCTCAGTGCAGGGAGGCCCTGCACCTAAAATGGCTGCCATTAAGCAGGGCTGGCGCCAATCGCCCCAGTGTGTCAGGATCAGGGTGAGTTTCTGATTTACAAAATCCTTCACTGGGGTTTCCATATGGGGTGGTAGGAGCTGTTAATACTTCTATGGGCTACTGGGGCAGAGCTGACTTACTGTATTAGTGTAGGCTGGAGATTTTTCTAAGCTCAGGCTGATCTCTGGGGGGTTTGGTATTGTAGAAACAGGGCACAAGAAGAACTGAGGCCGTTAATCAGGGTATCCCATACATGACTTCCTTTATTTTTTATGTAATTTACAGGCTAAAGAGCATGAAGAAACAGCAGCACACTGCTCAGCAGGGTTCCTACAGGAGGATGCTCATCTCTTGTCTGGGTGTTACAGTGGAGCAAATACAGGCCCCTAAGGAAGGAGTGCAGCAGACACTGAACTGGCAAAATACAGAAAGTAAGATTGAAAAGAGAACATGAAATCATCTGTAGATGCAGAGCTGTTTACTGGGGCCTAGTTTGCCATGGGAAAATGAGATATTTACTGCTCTTTCTGTCACAAATCCTTACACAATGCATCAGCAGAGCAATCCTGGTCTTTGGAACTGCTATGGGAAGGACTACCTTTCCTGCTGTATGATTTGTTCTTTTACTTGGAGGCCAGGGCAGTTTCTCACCAGTGCTGGAGGTGTGCCTACACTGGAGGGGTGGCCTATGCTGTCCCTGGGCTGCCACAGTATAAGTGTACTGCAGAGTGAGCAGTGCAGGATTTGTACCACAACAGAAACTCTCACAGAAACAAACTCTGCTCTTCCATTATGGTCCCTGTACCAGCATATAACAAGTTGTAACAGGCTGGCTGTGCCTATCAGGAATTCTCCACCCTTTTAACAGGTGTTGATCTTGTTGTGGGAGGCATGGTTCAATTTATTTGGCAGACTATTACTGAAGCAGGTGTCTCTTTAATTATTACAAATTAGTTGCATAAGAAAAAAGGAGTGGCTTTCTGGCAGAGTGTACAGAGTTTTCTGAAAGAGAAAGACTATCCCTATCCTAGATATAGTGCACTTTTTTACTGGTTTGTTTGCTTACTTTCTTGTGTCATGTAGGGTTGTGGAGCTCTGCCTGCTGTTGCTGTGCTAGTTTAAGCTGTTCTACTGCTTTGGGGTTCTGTGGATGGGGGATATTTGACAGGATAAAAATGTAATATTACACAGAACTCACACAGCATTTCTATCCATCCTCTGTTACTGAGCTGTCTCCAAACGGTTTGGATTTTCTAGATTGCATTGCCCACTCTTGCTCAGAGTCCTTTCACTTACCTTGGAATGTGACAAGAGAAAAGCCAGTCCTGAGTCAGTATTAAGTACCTTTCTATGCTGGGTCTTGTTCTTTGCAAAGCGTTTGTTTTGTGAGAGTCTTAAAATCAAATTCTGTCAAGCTTCTACTTTGCTTTCTTTTATTAGCGGCCCCCTATGTATAAGCCAGAGCACTAAAAGCCTATGCCTGTTTAACTAGAGGCAGGCAGAAACAAAGTACTGATCTGCAGTGCCAGAAAACCTGGACTTTATTCCTTCCATCCACTGTTTGAGCAGCCTTTCCCTGTCAGGTATCTACCTGGAGGGCAAACAGTTGCACAGAGGTGAAGTTTTCTCTGCTACCTACAAAACAACCTGGGGCTCTAGAGAATGCGATATCCAGAATAAGTGTATCCTGCTTCCTCAGTAAAATGGCCTGCCAGGCACACTGTGTACCAAGCACTGCAAGATGGTGAAAAGAGGGCTCCTTGTCTCCTCCAAGTGCAAAGGAGATTTTCAGTTTGAAAGACTAATTGTGAGAAAGGGCTGAAAAGGGGAGGCTTTAGGCTGATGTTTTTCTCACATATTTATAAAGACTTTTATGCCTCCTTTCATTTCTAGAAATTTTCAATCTACAGATCAAGCACAGGTATCCTTTAACATACAGCTAAGGTCACTCAAGGCAGTGCACTTCTTGCTCCAGAACACAAATGTCTGGGGCTTTTCACCTCCAGATTTATGCTGTTTTGATATAGAAGTTTTAAACTGGCAACTGAGGTTTGAATGTTTGTACCTGTAGTTATGAACATGCACTCCAAAGAAGCCCTGCTGTGAGATGCCCTTCTGGAAAGACTCAGCATTTCTTTTAAATCAGGCTTGCTTACTGCATACCTTGCTTTTAGCAGTGAAGGTGAGGCAGAAGTTGTGCTGGGTAAATACAGGATTTCTTATATTCTCTGTATGAATGTACTGATGAATCCAGCTCTGAAAGGTCACTTAGTTGCAAAAGTTATCTCTATGGGGGATGGGGACGGGGACAGGGAAGTTGTTTGGTTGAGCTTTTTGTAGTCAAAACTCTTTTAATGTCTGTGTAGAATTTGGCTCCCCTAACTTATTTTCAGAGTGCATTCACATAGCTGGACTGTCACGGGTCTTATTTTAAAGACCTGTGAAATGGGATCCCCTTCTCTGGCAACAGACAGTACTTGCCTCTGCCAAGCCCTTCTGCTGGGCCCAGCCAGCCTGCAGCCAGCTCCTTCACTTAGACTGCCTGTTTTGTTGATAACCCCCCACTGTTGCCAAAGGTGAGCCCTAAACATGTAGTCTGCTGAGGACCCCATCTATTAGCAGAAATGGATCCCCATGGTTAGGGGTTTCCTGGAGAAGCTCCTGGAGTGAACAGCCTCACAATTTTGCTGCTGTGAGATTCAGCATGCAAGAGCCATGTGCTACGTCAGGCTCTGTAGGAAATCTAGCCTACAGTCTGTTTCCCAGAAACAGATTAACCTGGTGATGTTCAAGATCATCTTCTTTGTACAGCTAAAACTTGGGCTGTGACTTCATTGTACTGAACCCCTGATAAAATTATCATGTCCTTTTAGTATTTCAAAACATGTTTTATTTACCACTGTAAAATTACACTTTTGGAAAAATTCCTAGACAGTAGAACTGCATTTTCCATTCATAGTTACAAACCAGGCTGCAGTCTGAGCTTCAAATTCCTGCATTTCTTAAAGGATCTGTAGCATCATTCTGCTAAGCACTTCAAGAATAGTTGCCTCAAACAGAGAAGGGGCAAGAGGTTTACTGCATTCTTTGTGAGCTGTTTAAATTCCATATAAGGTTGAGGTCAGTTTGCTAAAGGCAAGTGAAAGATTTTATTACTGATTGGAGGTGTGTGGAGTCAGAGTAGAAAATAGCTTTCTTAACAAATGGTTAATTAAAAAGCAAATATGTGATGACCTGAACTGAAAGCTGTCCTGTCCCAGTCATCACTTTCCAGTATACCATGCTCTGTATTCAGAGAAGCTGTGCATTCCCTTGTGCCTTATTATAACAAACCATCAAACAAACAAACAAACCAAAAACAAACCCAAAGCTGGGAACTGAATCCTTGTTGCTGTTTTACACATTCTCCTTAGGAAGTAGCCAATTGAACAGCCCCTTTTCCCTTAAGCTGGGGTTTGAGGATCTGGATGATAGCTGTAAGTACATACTTCTGATAACAGCAGACTGTTGGCTGTGTTGGCTCAGCCTCATAATATCTTTCCCAGTGTATTATCCCAGGCAAGACAAGAATGAATTAGCAGAGTGGGCTACATGCAACCCTGTATCTGGTGTTTATGTAGAAGAAGGACAGCATAGAATCAGGCTCTGCTGTCAAACTTGATTTATCCTTCTAGGAATAAAGCCCTTTTTTTGAGTTCTGACATACCTCAGACTGAAAGAAAATGATAACAAAATGATATGTCCTTTCTTCTCCATTTGGTGCTGTGCACAACATACTGGTTATCTTGTTCTATGCTAAGCAACATCTTCAAAAATTGCTAGCAGGGGGAAGCGATTTAGGATCTGTTTTCCTCAGCCTGTGCAGAGTGTGGATTACTTCCCCAATCAATGGCAGAGAATAAGCATCACAAGAAAAGGGTGAGGATAATACTGGCATAAGCTTACCAGTTTGAGTCAGGCCTTACTGAATAGCAGAGAAATTACGAAGCTAAGCAGCGTTGTTGCCTGGCTAGGAATTGAACCACCCACCTGAAAATGAGTGGGCTGTTTAAAAGGACATGGCTCTACAGGAAGGTATGAGGGGTGGTGGTGTCTCTTCTTGGTGTGGTGACCTTGCTGCTGTACCTATGCAGCATCAGCTTCAGAGATCTCTCTCTGAGAAAAAAGGAGGAACCTAGAATGTTGTACCTAACATCTGTGACATATCTGAAAAGTAAAATGTGGGCAGAGATGGACCTAAAATAGATCCAGATTTCCCAAATATTTATTTCCAGAGCCTTGATTAAGCTTATAGGTAGAAGACCATTTTTAAAGAATTTATTAAGATATCAAACAAGTGCAGAAAGGCAGTGCACATTTGCTGAGCACAAGGGTGCCTTAAATTCTGACAGGCATATGTTTTTATTTACTCTGTTCAGTAGTTCAGTTGCTCCATGCATAGATCAAAACTCCAATAAACAAACAGATGAATCAAAAATGCAGTTATGCTGCTTAGAGAAATTATGTCTTTCAAATACAATCAGCGAGACATACTCTGCATCAAAGAGAACTTTAAATGTTATCAGGAAGGTCTAATTCAAACCACATCAATACTGTATTGTGGAAGTTGAGAAGGATAAATAGGGAGGCTTTTGGAAATTGTGCAAGCAACTTGAATTGCTGATACTCATAGAGGAGGTAAAGTATGTGCATTCTGATTTCCTGGGAAAGAGAAACTTAAGTGGAAACTATTGGATGAAACTACACAGCATGAAAATTATTAGTCCCCTTGCTGCCAATTCTTTATGCTTGGTTAGCCTCCTTGAGGTGTTTCCTGGACTGATACTCTTCCTGTCCTTCAAATCCTAGGATAAGATAATTGAGTTGTTTTAACATCTATGTAGAGTACTGCTCTTTTCAAGTATCTATTACAGTTGATTTCTTGAGATAGACAAGACAAAATTCTTGTAAATCCTAGAAAGCTTATTGTAGACAGAGCATCATCTGTAAGAGCCTGTTCTTGGACCCTGAGGCTGTTCCATGGCCTCCATTACAAACCACAG